ACGACTGCCGCTCCAACTACAACCGCTGCCACGACTGCCGCTGCAACTACAACCGCTGCCACGACTGCAGCTCCAACTACAACCGCTGCCACGACTACAGCTGCAACTACAACTGCTGCCACTAATGCACCAACAGACAGCGAGGGAACACTTGGATTGCAGTTTAGTCTAGACCAAACATTTACAAGCGATCTCAGTGACTCATCCTCAACGGCCTTTCAGAATTTAGCTAACACAGTGGTCACTGAGGTAAGATGTCAACACAGTATAACAAAATTACTGCCCGCTAAATGTACTGACAATTATTTGCTGTTATTTGATGCATGAAGGTATTTGACAGTAATGATATTTTTCAGGTGAACAGCATTGGTAGCAGACTCTATGGATCAAGTTTCAGTCGCTCTCTCGTTAACTCATTCACGTAAGCCCAAATGTTAGCCCCTGACACCTTTTAAAATATCTGTCTTTGACTTGCTTTCTCAAAGTGTTGCTTTCTCTCACTGTCACTGCAGGGCTGGATCAGTGGTTACCAACATGACTCTTGTGTTCCAAGATCAAAACTCAGTTCCTGCAGCAAGTACTGCAACTACGCAGTTGAGCAGTGAACTTACCAACTCTACCACCTTGAATGTAATATCAGGCAGCGTTTCTGCACGTAAGTTACCTGAGACTTAGGAGTCAAACTTCAGGAATTTTTGCCTTTTTTTTTTTTTTTAGCCTGTGGTCATTTTTAAGCATAAAAGCAAAAAAAAACACACAAAAAAACAAAACTGTTTATGGTTTATGGTTATATTTTGACAGTGTGAGATAATTGTCTAGAATTTCTTTGACTAATGTTTTTGCTGTTTTTAATATTTCAGAGTCAACATCAACAACATCAAGCAGTCCTCCTCAGCCCACAGTAGGCACATTGGTAGTCTTTTCACTAACACTGCTGGCTGTGACACAAATGCTGATCGACTTATAGCCAGAAGCCAAGGCAGATACATTGACTTGACCAAAGGTTTTTACTGTACCATCAAATGTGGAAAACAGTAATGCTAATGAACAAAAAAAGAAGACATCACAAGTGTGCATTATGAAATTTACAGATACAATATCATGTGGTAAAAAGAAGTGTGCTGTGTGTCTTAATTTCAGACAGTTTTATAGTATTTTCCATAGCTGATGTTACAAATTATTTAAAGTACTAATCATGAAGGCAAATATTTGATACTTTGTGCCATTCAGTATACTTGTTAGTGCCTTTGTTTTGCAAATGCACCTTTTTCATTGTGGCATTGTTAAAATAAAATAAAAATGCAAATACATATAGTATGACATACCACATATTTATTTCTAATTAAGCGCATTGTACAATATTATTGACAATTCAGCAGGATAAAATTTGCTATCCAAAGCAACTGCACCGAAAGAGTGAAAAGGAAGAAGGGTGCACTTACTGCAGTGTGATGCCAAAAGCTAAGAGAGTTGAGTTAAATGACCTTGATGGTGAAGGCCAATGATTCAACACCAACCACTGGTGATGAACTAACCACATTTTATCCCAGGTGACAAACTCTCACCATAACCATGTAACTCTAGACAGCTAACCCTTAATACCAGCACAGCTGCCATGTAAGGACACCATAGGAAAAACTGTTAGCACTGAGCTTTCAATTATGTTGCATTTTGCGGAGTCTTCCAATATCGAGTGAATAACGTGGAAGGTGGATCACCATTAAATGAGCTGCTGCATACTTGTCTAAAAATGTCTACGCACTATCATTGTATTCATGATTTACTTTTTTTTTTGATTGATTGGCTAATTAACATTTTCTATTGAATACTGGTTCTTCCTGTATGTTTTTGAAAATGGGGATGCCAAAATTGTATTTATGTTAATCAACAATGTATTAAAATGTTATCTTCACAATATTTGTGGTTTTTAAATGTTTTCATTTTCCCTCCCTTTTTCAGTAAATTTTTAAAAAGCATGTGTTCCCTTTGAGGTCTCATCGGGATGATATATTTGATTATGTATTGTTAATGGTGTGATTGATACACTTTGTCTAGACTTGTGATGACTGACCAAAACTAAATCTTTTAATGATATGTATTTTTGAGAGTAAGGTTTATGATCATGCCCATTACTTACAGAATTCCAGTAATCTGGGACCAACACTGAAGAAGAGGAACTCTACAGTTTTCTGTAGTTGGTACATGGTGAGCAAGCACATGTACATATTGTCAAAAGATTCTTAACTAGGACTAATGTGTTCAACAGTCTATGCTATTATTTCCTCTTGACCTTGTGCCAGTTTTAAGTCATATCTTAGCATTTCTCATAGTGAAACGAAGATAGGAAGACTATCTGAACATTTTTAAATCCTAAACAGCCGAGTCAGCACTGAATATACAGTAAGCATATGGTTATAGTCTCTGTCTCAAACTCTTTAAAAACCTGCAATAATAATAATTACACTGTTTTGCTGATTCTGGGTCTGTGATTGTATTTCAAGTGTCTACTCTTTGGCATGGTGACCACAGCCCTGATCAGACAATGCAGGCTATAAAAAATAAAATTGACAAGCACATAGAGGCCTGATTTACAATTGAAAGTGGCTGTTTAATTATTTCTTCCATATACTTTTCCATATAAATATTTAGTAAGAGAGTAAAAGGGTTTCTTAAAATGCAAATGTCTTCTGTCTATAATCCAAAGTGCATCTTGTTCATATAGTTATGGCTGTATTGTTAACTAACTAACCTAATTAAAGGAAAAACTTAGGCATAAGAATGGACTTCACCAATAGCTGGTAAGAAAACAGCTGATCCAGATCATCTGGCCTGGTTCGTATTTACTTGAGCACCTAGTTGCCAACGTACCAGCGCAACAACATATTTCTCCTCGAGAAGTAAAGAGCTGCTCTTCTAAATGTGACTGTGTACTTAATTTCGAACCAGTTCATTACTTTTAAATAAGACCAGGCTGTAGTTGTGGTATCTTCACACAGTCAGACTAGTTAAAAAGAGCTGCTTGCATCAAACAAGAGCACCAATTATGGGCAACATATAGAATCTAAAAATTACACATGGTGTCTCAGCAGAGTTTTGAGTGTTAGAGCATTTTTAGACATTTGCATTACATTATTAACATTTGCTTGAGGTTTTTGGAACAAAAGTGAGGTTTAATTATTCTGGAGAAAAAGACACAATATTGCGTACATTATGTTGCTGCTAACAAATTAATAAACCACTATTAATGGGTTCTTTTAAAAAATGGTTTCCCATTTTCCCTTTGTGTGCATGCAACAGGAATAACACACCACAAGAGGGCTGTATTGCCCCAAGGATAACACAAGTTTGTATTGCTTTCATGCCTAAAATGTTTCCCTTTACAGTTGTGTGTGCTCTTGAAGTCAAAGTCAAGCAGCACCCCCAGCCATGACCATGGCCTAGCTGTGATGAAAGGAAATAACCAAGGAGAGCAATTTTAAATGGAAAAAAAATAATCTGTAAGAAGAGCAAGAACAATGGACAGAAAGGCAAATTAATCTGAAAGAAACAAATCTGTTAAAACTTCCAATGACATCCACCAGAACAGTTCTGGTTCTGGAACTAGTTTTGTTGGTGAACAGAGGAACCAGAGTTCCAATTTTAGGAAAACCATTTGCAATCTGACAACAATTGACTTGCACAGACATGTGTGCAAGATGAATGGCATCCAAAATTATTTTTTCTTGCAGATGTTTTCAGTTGCTTTTTTCCTTTCAAGTGAGATGTGCCCATTGATCACATCCTCTGGGTTCTAACTTCTGACCCTGGTATCTTCTGGTGCCTAACCGGAAGTAATGTTTTTGTGTTTTTTTCCCCCCTTGCAGACAAATGAGGCAATTCAAATCTACCAACATAGAATCATATCCTGCACTGGCTGAAATGCCCATTGAATGTTTTTTTGTTTGTTTGTTTTCTTGTTTTACTGCCCCTAAAAAAACCCATAAGACATAGGCATAAAAATTCATCGGAAATGTTTAAACAAGGGGGGCTTTTACTGAAGAGTTACAGTTATTTATGTTGTTATATTTTCAGTAATTCTGCTAAAAGAGGAAGAGCAGCAAAGGTAATTGTTAACTAATTTGCATCTTTGGAAAAAAAAAAACT